CACCTGTGAAAACACGGTGCACAAACCAATGGATTTGCACCAATGTTAAGTACAGTGCCCTTTAATTCTGAGAAATACATAAATCATGACGATGTTAGTTTTGTAGGGGATCTATCGGGACAAATTACCAAATAAAGTCAAGTTTTTCTTGTAGAGCTTATGAGCGGTACTCTATATCATTATATAATGCGTTTAACATTAAAAAAAGAAGAACGCCATTGTTACAATATCATCTCAAATGGACATATTTTTACAGGGAAAATGGGACCTGGGACAGTTTCGAAAACTTTGATCGGCTTGAATGCTCTGTTAAGAGTTCAAAGTCCGTCAGCTGCTAGTACTTTCGTTTTGGGTCATAAATAGATAAGCTCTGCTAGGTTAAAACTTATTTTAACAGTCAAGGTGAGAGAAAGTGTCACGAGTTTCTGTTGAGTTCAGGAGCAAATCGAAGCAAAACGTATAAACCCATGCCCGCTTGAGAAGAAGTTGAAGCGATGATGTTGTTTTAGTTGTTTTTTGATTAGGGAAGAATGAGAAGATTTTAAGGCGAAGCTCATTTGTACTCAAACTACCTGAGCAAAACAATCGGTTCCAGCAAAAATAGTGAAGTACACCGAACACGCTTGTGCCGTCATACCCATAGGAAATACAATAGGCGAAAATAACTGAAATGCCAATTGTTTTGCATATATCTGTGATATGAAACCAAAAAGGAAGCGTCGAACTCACACCAAATATTCGCGTTAAGCTTAGTGAGAATTTTCTTACGCTTTCGAGGAAAAAGAGAAATATTCCCGTTAAGATGACGGCACTATCGGAACAGCCCAATGCGCACAGATAAAGATTTGTAGATGTGCGCATCTCTGAAAAAGCATTTATAATGTAACAAAGACTTGGTGGCGGATAAACCTTTCGAAATAAAGTGTTCACTTTTTTTGATGGATTAAGCTAGCAGGAAAACCCTTAGTATTTATTAGGTCAGGTCACAACTATTTACAGTTATAATAGATTTTGTAAGAGACTTACCTGGGCGACTGTAAACAAAAGCTGAAAGCCCATTCCCAATGAGCCCCAGAGAACCGATAAGCGGTAGTATGATACCGCTCACAATGATGTTGTAGAGTATATAGTCGGACTCATTTAGTGGATGTTCACATATACCGCACTGGAAAAAGCAAAGATTATTCAGCAGAATTTCATTTTACTCAAGAATGCCCATGTGAACCCTATGCTGCTTACCTGTGGTAAACATCCAGTGAAGTTGATAGCGTCTATAATTCCTACCTCTCTAAGTCTTTCAAGATTATCATATAACGGCTTATGTTCACAATGTGGCGGGTACAAACCATTCATGACATGAGAAAGACTGAAAGTTATGTTTAGAAAGATTTGATTGACCTGTTGTGACGCAATGTTGCATAAATGAAAGTACAAATAAAAATGCTAACAGGACCTAGGGAGGCTGTGAAAATTACAAGAAAAGGAAATTGGATGTACACAAGGCGAGATTTGTGAGGGAGAAAGGAGGGAG